CCCCATCCACCTCCTGGTGTGTCCCCCCCTCCTCCAGGCACGGCCGTAGACCCTGACCCTGCCAGGAAAAGTAGGTCTGCCGACTGGTGTGGATCAGGCCCCGGGGCCGAGCAGGGCAAGCTTTTGTGATCGCGTTGCAGGCAAGTCCCCAGAAAGGCCCAAAGAATCCACGGAAGTGGAAAACGTAGTCGTCCCTTTTGCTCTGGCCCCTCCAAGTAAGGCCTTATTGTGCATTCAGACACACGCACACACACACACACACACACCCATAGAGGAGAAGTAGGAAAAGGGCGGCCCTGTGGTTCTCCCTGAGCTGAGGAAGGTAAATCACGCACAGAGCAATCAACGCAAGCAACTTTTCCCATTGGCGTTTGTGTTTGACTGTCCCGGGTTGCTGCCTTGTAGCCGGCCAGAGTAGGGAGTGGTTTGCAGGCGCCATGCTGGCCTTTCAGTAGGCTTGAAAAACCCCATTATGGTGGGGACAGCCCCCCAAGAGTGGCTGGGCGTTCTCCACCACGGTCCTGGAGGAAGCAGGGAGACCCCAGGCTGGCCGGAAGCGGTTCTGCTCGCCTTCGCCTGTCCGAGGGGCGGCCGCCCGCTTCTCCTCCAACCCACAAAGGCGGCTCTATGAGCGAGGTGGCTGCTCGGTGCCAACCCCCAGCCGCCGCAAGACTCATGATCCGTCTCTGTCTGGAAAGGGCCAGCAGCGGGCAAAGAGAGGCCTGGCACAGTCTGTCCTCCCGTTATTGGCACGGGATCGATCAGCCTGGGCAGGGGTGTCCTTTGTCTGCCCTGTGAAGGGAACGGTCGGGTCGGGTCGGGTCAGCAGACCTCCATCTCCAGAAGGCCAGCACCTTCTGTTTTCCGAGCCCTTCCTACTCACGAGAGGTTTGAGTCACGTGGTGCACAAGCGCTTAAGGGTGGGGAGGGGTTGCTTTCGGGAGGGGTGGAGAGGAAGATGGGGGGGCTGCGGTATTTCCCAAGCCTGGAGCCCTCTGGGTTTCCATACAGCAGCCTGGTCATGCTCAATAACTGTGCACAGAGAGTTGGCCAGCATGCCACACACACACACCCTGGGCTCTGCGGCATGATGACAGCATGGCTCCTTAAAAGAGGTGAGAGGTCCGGTGCGTGTTTTGCAGGGGGGATGCAGATGGCCTCCTCTGGGTTGGTATCTAGGAATCTGCTTGTGTGGTGGAGGGCCGGCTGTACCTCTGTGGCGCATAGGGTGGCCGGCACCGAGGGACATGTCTGCCTGCTTTGTACAGTGGGAAAAACAGCTGTCCCTTGGATCGCTCCCCCCCCGCTGGCAAAGATCTTTTCTGAGCCATCGAGGGCTCCAGGAGGAGGAGAAACTTCCGCCCACGGCCGGGGTGGTGGTGGGTGGGAGCGGACCTTCTCAGGTGTTCCTTCTCGCTGTGGCCAAACTGGCCCGTGCAGGAGCCAGAAGGCTTGAACTCGGAGCTTCTGTCTCCCCTGCAGGCTCTACAGGCGGAGGAGCCCAAGGAAGAGACGAGGAGGAAGGAGAGGCCGGGGCTGGCAGCTGCCTTCAACGGCGACATCCTGGAGCCGGACACTGACAGCAGGACCATGGAGAACGCAGGTACAGCCCCCCCCTCCCGTGTCTCTTGGGATCTGGGCGAACGCATCAGGAAGAGGGTTGGCTTGGGGATGAGTACCTCTGTGGCGCATAGGGTGGCCGGCACAGGGAGACATGTCTGCCTGCTTTGTACAGTTGGAAAAACAGCCGTCCCTTGGATCGCTCCCCTCCGCCAGCGAAGATCTTTTCTGAGCTGTCGAGGGCTGCAGGAGGAGGAGAAACTTCCGCCCATGGCCGGGGGGGTGGGGGGTGGGAGCGGACCTTCTCAGGTGTTCCTTCTTGCTGTGGCCAGCTGGCCCGTGCAGGAGCCGGAAGGCTTGAACCCAGGGTTTCTGTCTCCCCTGCAGGCTCTACAGGCGGAGGAGCCCAAGGAAGAGACGAGGAGGAAGGAGAGGCCGGGGCTGGCAGCTGCCTTCAACGGCGACATCCTGGAGCCGGACACTGACAGCAGGACCATGGAGAACGCAGGTACAGCCCCCCCCTCCCGTGTCTCTTGGGATCTGGGCGAACGCATCAGGAAGAGGGTTGGCTTGGGGATGAGGCTGGCTGTTCGTCTTTGGCAAGGCCAGACCTTTTAGCCAGAGTTGGCTTTGGGTCCTGGGCGGGGAGAGCACTTCTCCCTCCCATGTGGGGGGGGGAGTTGGCTAACCCCCTGTCCTGGATTTTGTCACAATACAAAAAAAAGCAACACCAAAACCACATTCAAAGCAGCAAGCTGACCACGATGCATTAAAATAACCAAAAAAAGCAAAACCCGACTCAAGCAGCCATTGACTCGGGGGAAGCGTTCCTGAAGGAAAAGGTTGAGGAAAGACAGGAAAGATGTTCTATACGGAAACATGTACATTTCCTGGAAGTAAACCGTGGGGCAAACCAGGAAGGGACCGGCCTTCCTCCCGGGGTGGGTCAGGTCTTCCATTCTGGTGCAGAACGAAGAGAGAAGAGAAGGTGGCGTCTCTCTAGCTTGAGCGGAGCGGCTTTCCCCTCAACCAAGTTAAAAGTGCCCACGGTGAAGCACCCTCCCGGGGAAGGGTGCAAGGGAAGTGTGAATGCCTAAAAATGCCAGCACTTTTTGAAAACCCAAGTTCCTAGCCCACATGGGTCCATGCAAGCGGTTTGCCCCGGGGAAGCCGCTTCCCCTGTGCTTCCAAGTCCCGGAGGGGGGCTCGATTTGGGTCAAGGTCTCCAGGAATGTTTGGGGGGAGGTGGGGGGGCTGCCCGCGTGTGCATAAAAATGCTGGCCTGTGAAAGGAAGAGAGCACCATGCGCATCCTGTGGGTGTTGGCCACATGTGGCTTCCTCCCCCTCCTGCTTGCCATGCAGGGAGAGTGAGGGAGCGCTGCCTGCTTCTGCTTCTTCTTAGCTCAGGTTTTCAAAGCCTGAATTGCCAGAGCTTGTCCAGGCACATCAGACGGGAGGGGAGAGGAGAGGGGAGGCGCTCCAAGAGATGCCCTGTTTGGGAAGGCTTCCGCAATTCCCTCTCCGGGTCCTCGCAACCCAGTGACTCAGTGCAAGAACACCAGGGCCGGTGCGGAGAAGGAGGCGATCTTAAAAGCAAGAGGAGAAGAAGGTGGGGACTCCGGGGGCGGGGGGGAAGCGCTAGGGACAGAACCAGCAGGGGCAAAACCCTAGAAGGAAGGGGATTCTGCCCACCAGCCAGGTGGATGTAGAAGTGGGAGGCTTGGGTCCAAGAAGACCCTGACCCTGTACATGATGTGGCGAAAACCGGTCTTGTTCACGGCAGGTGAAGAGTGGGGTCGCTCCCTGTCTGAAAGCCAAGCCCATGGAGGATGTGCTGGCTGGACAGCTCAGTGGTGGAGGCCTCAGGTGGCAGAGGCAGAGAGGCTGGGAGTTCGGTTCCCCCACTCGGCCTTCTTGGCAAGGGCAGGACTCAGCGATCTGTAAGGTCTCTTCCAGCTCTGCCGTTCTAAGATTATGATATGTTTATCCAAAAGCATCAGCTGAATGGACCGAACTGAGATGGCTTCTAGCCTCCAGACCCTGAGGCTGTGTGGGAAAAGACCATTTGAAAGGAGCCTGCTAGGCTTGCGGGTTTTGTGTTTGTCACGGCCCCTTGTCCTCGCTTTATTGTCTTTATTCAAAGTACATGAGTGTGATCTTCTGAAGTAGTAATTGGCTGGTAATTAGTTCCTACTAAGGTTGGGTGATGTGTAAGGGTGACCAGGAGGTTGTTGACCCTGGTTTTGCTCTGGAAAGCTGTGTTATAATGGGATTGCTGTATTATCCACTTGTTGTGATATTTAAATTATATGAAACAAAATGGGGAAAAACCTAAGAAGACGGACAAAAAGGTTGGGAACACAAAAACGGGCAAAAGATCTCATTGGTATAAGAGCAGGCTGGCGCTTGTCCTTCGCGGCGTTCTAATACCAACTGCTTAGCCAGCACAAGGAGGCAGAAGAGTCATGTCTGTTTGCCGTTGGTTAATTTCCAAGGAATGCGTAGGTGGCTGAATATAAATTCTACAGCTACAAAATTCAAATCTTTGCTCCAGTGCACAATTAATGTGAGTAACCTCTTCCCCAAAAGCTATTCCTGGACACAACCTGCTCTTATGTTTATATTAGCAGCAGCAACTGGCCAACTTAAAACTTTTGTTGAGACGTCACTGTGGCATCCAGTGTACGTAAAACATAGGCTGTTTCTCAATTGACTGCACCTTGAGGTCTGTAGATTGCACTGAAGCCAAATCCATAAACCACAGCTTAGGCCAAGTAGAACAGTTGTGGGTGTGTCTTGTGTGTGTGTGTGTGTGTGTGTGTGTGTGTGTGTGTGTGTGTGTTTTCCCCAGCTTGGTACGTTACACTTATTAATCAACCTTAGGATAAACAGGATTTTTAGTTTTCTTTCTCTTTTTGGGGTGTATGTGTGTTGCTACTTAGTGTATCCAAAAGCAAAGGAGATGTTGAGGCCCCCAGAAGTGCAGGACACGATCCCACATAAGAGCGAGCAGTGCCGAGAAAAGACCACCAGTCAGCAACTTATTCTAGAAGAGCTTGCTGTATCAGGACTGGTTAAAAAAACCAAGTTATGGATTTTTGTGCACTCATCCATGCTCGGATACAAAAACTAGGAAAGAAGCAGAAGCTACAATATGGGAGAAAGTGGACTGCAAAACAAACAAACAAAAAAAAAACAAACAAAAAACCCAGATCAGCTTACTGGGACTTTTTGTGGTTTCTGAGCAGTAGAATGTTTCCCTATATTCTCCCGGCTGTCGTAACTGCTGTGAGTAACGCACAATGCAACCCATATGTTTGGGTTTGGAGCAAGACTTAGGACAACACTGTTGGGAGGATGGAAGAAAGGAAGGAAGGAGAAAGGCAGCAAATTCCCTTTGAAAAATGGCATTCCGAATACTGGTTATGGGGCAGGGGTTGGGGTTGGGGAGGGATGGCTTATTTCAGATTGTACCCTCCCCGCCACCCCGCCTGTTCCCTGGGGCCTTTTCATGTCACCAAGTCATGGGTTCTGTCTGTGTGTTCTTCTTCCTTGCTGGTGGCGACAGGAATGTGGAACGGTCTGGGTGAAGAGCTGCCCCACCTGGAGCCTGGAGGCAGCAGGGTGTTTATGCGTTCTCCTCCGTACTCGGTGTGGTCCTCCTGTGCATCCCCCACTGGCCAAACAAACTCCGTCCTCGGAGCATTTTGCACCGCAGGTGGTGATATGGCGCTTTCCGTCCCTCTGTGTGGTTTTGCCATCATCCCTCTGAGACAACACATTCCATTGCTCTGCCTGGAAGAGAGCTCCGCGGGGCTCTTCCAGAAAATCAGAGCCCTCCGTGTCCTTGGGCAAACGAATTTCTCACCCTCGATGGGCCTCCAAGATGCTAATCGGTGTAGGTGCAGATTGGAGATAGGCTGTGCATTGGGGGAAATCCAAGTCCGGAAAAAGGGAGGTCCCTTTTATTAGGACCAGCTAAAAGGTCTCAAAGCAGTGAACAACCTACCCCCCCCAAAAAAAAACACATAGCCCTAAATTTTTGGAAATCGATGTTCAGCAAAGGAGGCAGCAGGTTTGGACGGAGGCTGTGGGAAAGGAGATGGAGAGCTGAGGAAGACAATTCAAAGAAGGGTGGAAAACCAATGGGCTCCAGTGCACATCGGAACAGCTCCTGTTAATAGCAAAAGATACTCTGGCTCTGTTGTATCTCTGGAAAATATACATGTCAGCCATGATTGGGCTTCACCTCTGGCAGCCTCTCGGTGTAAACATCTCATCTGCCATGTGATGGTTCTTCCATTGCAGCAGTTCAGAAAGTCAGAGAGGCTCGTGTTGGGCTTTCTTAAAGAGTTTTGCTCAAAAAGTCCCCGGGGGGGGCACTGCCCGCTTCCCAGGATGGCTGAATCCGGGGACTTGGCTCCTGCGTTTCCTCCTGCCTCGGCCCTTCAGGGGTCCATGCTTCAAGTGTGCGCTCTTGACAGCCCTCCATGGTGTAATGTGGCTGCTTCACACCACAACCCTGCTGCTCTCCTCATCTCATCCAGCCACGGACATGCCCGCCCCACCCCTGCCGCCTGGCTTGCTTGATCTAAGAGCGCCCTGTTCTGTTGCAGGGGGAAGACTCTATGGTGGGAAGCGTCCCAGCCTGCCAGGCGCCCACCAGCTTCCCATGGTTCAGACGCTGGTGGAATCTCTGGCCCAGCTGCAGGAGGAGAAGCTGCAGCTGCAGCAGGAGCTGTTTCGGATGCAGGAGAAGCTGTCCGTGCAAGAGAGCGGCCAAGGCACTCAGGCGACGCAGCTTCAGAACCAGGTATCCCCCCCCCCAGTGCTGATTCTCCCGGCAGTGGAACCAGAGAAAAGGGTCAACAAGCAGTCGTTCTGGGTGGCGTCCCAATGAATGCATGCTGCTGCCCCTTGTTCCAGGGAGGCCCCGGGGCATCCCTGCTGAGCCTCCTCACCCGTCCGGAGGGACCTTTGCAACAGCAGCATCTCCTCCTCCTGGATGGAGCAGCTGCCTTCTGAGGCATTCTATCCCCACCTGCTTCACACACACCCCCAGGTACTGCATGCCTCCTTCGCTGGCACCCGTCCGGAGGGACCTTTGCAACAGCATCATCTCCTCCTTCTGGCACACACACCCTGGATAGAGCAACTGCCTTCTGAGTCATTCTATCCCCACCTGCTCCCCCCCGCCCCCAGGTACTGCGTGCCTCCTTTGCTGACTTGAATCGCCATTTCTTGTTCCTCATGAACCTGCTTTTGTGCAAGTGGCCTGAAAAAGGGGCACAGAGAGGGAAGGAGAGAGGGAAGCCACAACAGAGCGTCCGAGAGGGACCAAAGCCTGCAGGGGAGGCCAAAGCATTTTCTGCAAGAGAAAAAGGCCCTTTAAAATATGTTCGGAGTTGCAGGACACGAAGGGGCCTCCCAGATTACCACCCCCTGCCCAGACGCCACCCTGGGACAGGCAGAGAGTGGAAGAAAACCGGCCTCACTGTCGTATTAGAAGACTCTCGGCCCAGTTTCTGGTGCACAGAATCCGAGCCTCCAGCCTGGGGGTGGCGGTGGTGTCTCCCACCACCCTCCTGAAGCAGGGCAGCCACCATGATGGTTGCTTCAGTTATAAATGTGAGGATGATGATAAACACTTACTTTCCTTTGGTATTCTCTGCCTTGGATTTCCAGAGTGTCCGACAGAGCTTTTTTCACCGTTTTTCTACCAGACTTTTCCCTGAAAGTAATGGTGCATGATTTTTATTTCAGGATGAGAGAATGCTCTTTGTCAGGTACATCCCCGTTGGCCTTCCAGTTAAGAAGCTACTACATTTAATCTTCCTTTCTGTTTCGGCAGACAGAAAGTCTGAAGGGTAAACTCCTGGAGCAAGCGCAGGAAATGAACCGGCTTCATACTGTGCTGGTGAGTTCTGTTTTCGTAGCATAAAATCTGCCACATTTGAGGAAACCATGTGAGGCAGTGTGAAAACAAGCTCCTAACCAGCTTCGTCCTGGCAGAGGCTGCCGCTGTAAACAGAAATCATTTCAGTTGAATTCAAGGCTGGGACAGAAGACTGATCATTGGGATCCTTCCTGGGGGTGCGCATGCACAATTAAATTGTAAATTAACAGTCTTGCACTTTTAAGCCATAATTAGGGGCTGGTGCTAAGACGTTTTCAATTACGAAACATGCACTTACATATGAAGTTGCACCTTGAAAGGGAAGGCGTCTCTCTCTGGCACACACATCTGGCTGGTCCAGGGCATTGGCGTTCAGTGAAAATGGCAGAGGTGCTGTAGCAGCACTTTGAGTTCCACCGATGGCAGGTCTTGCACAGAGAGGGGGGCTGGACTAGATGACCTTCGGGGACCTCTCCAGATCTGTGGGTCTGTGAACATCCCCTATCTTGACCTTATTGAGCCCTGCAAGGGCTGGCTGCCCTCCTCCCACCCGCCTCCCCCATGGGCTCCTTGGGCAGCTGGGAGTCTTCATCGGTTCTCTTCTGTTTGCCCGGCTGTCTTTTCCTGAGACGGAGGAGGAGGAAGAGTGCAAGGCTTGAGTCCAAAGCTCAGGACAGGATGTGGCCCAGTCCCTTTTGAAACCCCTGATGGAAGAAGGGGGACCTTGGGAATCTTCTGAACAGCAGAGAAAGGGTTGGGAATAGGAGGGGGCAGAAGCAGGAGGAAACCCAACAGCCCAGCCTACGTTGAAAAATATGTACAGGAAACGGAGTGGCTACTGAAATAAGTCTCCTGCTAACCAGCTCATATTGAAATAGGTTTATTGCTGTAGGACAAAAGCATTGTCCTGCATTTCAGTATATAGAGGCACTCACACGAATTGGAAGGGTGTTCCAGTTCTCCTGGGGGGTGGATGAAGGGAAACCGTCCTTAATTACTGACACACCCCAGCGTATGCATTGGCACGAGGTCGTGTGTCATCAGGGCTAATTTATTACAAAGCCTCCGTCTTCAATTTTTGAGGGAGCTCTGAGCGCTTCACCGGAGCTTTTCGTCCAAAGCAAGGGCCGCCTGGATTTATGGGTTGACTCCCACGATGTCTTCGGAAGATAGTGTGATGGCATCTCCTGTGTCTGAGCATTATTTGTCTTAGTGGCACTCCATAATTAACGTACTAATTTGACCACACCCTGACAGAAAATAAAGACTTGGCTCCTTAAAGAAAGGAGTTGATTTTAATTAGGCTCAAGTAATAGCGTCAATCCGTGGAGCCGAATGCATTGAATGACCTCTAGGTTTACGTCCCTGTTGATCCGATGGAATTGAGACACCCTGTTGTTTCATTCAGATTAAAGTGTCCCCTATATTGATGGGCATGCTCCGCGCTCAGACCGGTCAGATCCCAGCGGAACGTGCGTGGCATCTCTCCTCAGGCGTAACTGTGGCTCTCGCTTTGTCCGTGAAAGCAGGCTCGTGGTTTATGGGTGTAAATTACGAAAGCGCAGGGCATCCCTTGTGGTGTTACTCTGTTTAGAGACGGGCAATTGGTGGGTCTCCAGAAGTCTTTAGGCTCTTAACTCCCATCATCCACACCAGCATGTCCAAGAGTCATGGCTAAGGGGGGCTGCAGTCCAGTCACATCTAAAACGCCAGGAAAAACCACCCCCCCAAACACACACACACTTTTACTGTAGCTGGTTTTTTAGAGGAAGAGTTTATAGCCATGTGATTGGTTGGTTGGTTGGTTGGTTGGTTGGTTGGTTGGTTGGTTGGTTGGTTGATTGATTGATTGATTGATTGATTGATTGATTGATTGATTGATAAGCAAGTGGACTCTGCTAACACAGAGATCCTGCCCTTTCCCAAGACTCCTTTTCCCCCCTGCATTGCAAAATGTCCCTGCTTTTCCGATGATTTTACCGGAGTTAAAAGAGTCCCCCGTTCTCTTCCTCCTCCTCGCCTGCTCTCCTCAGGGCGACACAGACCTGGAGAAGCACCGGGACCTGCTGGTGGCGGAAAATGTGCGCCTGAAGCGAGAGGTGAAGCTGTGCGAGGCGCAGCTGCAGGAGCTCAAGAAGCAGCAAGCGGGGAAGTGTGGGGTCGACTGTGAGCACCAGGAGGTAAAAGGGCAGCCTCTTTCTGCTGGGGGGAGGTGGGGTGTGTGTGTACCCGGCATCTGGCTGTGCCAACACGGCTGGGCTCCTCACATGCCAAACGGTGCCCTTCCCGCTCAGGAGAACGCGAAGCTGCAAGAAAAGCTGGCGCAACTCAAGCGAGAGGCCGAAGAGGTGAAAGGGCGCCTGTCGGAGCGGGACCTCGAGGTGGAGCAGAAGACCAACCGCTTGGCGGAGGTGGAGCTTCGGCTGAAGGACTCGCTGGCCGAGAAGGCCGAGGAGGAGGAACGGCTGAGCCGGCGGCTGAGGGACAGCCAGGAGACCATCGCCAGCCTCAAAGCCCAGCCTCAGCAGGTCAAGGTGAGGAGGGGAGGGGTTCTTGGCAGGGTGGGCAGCCCTTCCTTGTGAGGACTGCTGGGCGCTGAATCCTCGTCCCCACACCTGCCTGCCTGCCTGCCATCTTCCCATCTCTCCCCCCCCCCGCAGTACGTCGTCAGGACGGTGGAAGTGGAGTCCTCCAAGACCAAGCAGGCCCTCTGCGAAGCCCAGTCCCGGAACCAGTACTTGCAGGACCAAGTGGGCATGCAGCGGCAGGTGCTGAAGGAGATGGAGGAGCAGCTGCAGAACTCCCAGAAGGTGGCCGCTCAACTGCGTGCCCAGGTAGGTTCCCCCCTTCCTTCCCACAAAAGGAGAAGCAGAGAGCAGGCGGTCCGGACGTCGCCGGTGAAGGCGCTTTGTCTGGGACGCCTCTTCTTGGGGGAAGGAGCATCTTTCGGGGGAGCCCTCCTCGCCTCCTTGAGCCGGGGTTATTTGGGCTCTTATTCTAGGTGAGGCTGTACGAGTCGGAGCTAGAAAGGGCCCACGAGCAGATGCTGGAGGAGATGCAGAACATGGAGGAAGACAAGAACCAGGCGATCGAAGAAGCGTTTTCTCGAGCCCAAGTCGAAATGAAGGCTGTCCACGAGAATCTGGCAGGTAACGAGCATCCGGCCGGCGAAAGGTTTCTCTGAAAAGCCTGATCACCTCTCTCCAAGGAGGCAGCTTTCCACTCCAGTCGGGACTCCAGGGGTGGGGTGGAGGGAGTAGACCACTTTGGTGGGCCCAGGGACCGGTTTCCTGCTCCTGGACCCTTGCATGGCCCACTGCACACTTTCCCAAAAGGGAAGAGGAAAGGGTTGGTCGTCATGAGAAGGTGTGAGCTTTCTTGGCCCCCTCCCCCTCCCGGGGTCTGTGGCGTCTCCTCAGGATGCCCCTCGGTGCTTCTCCGCAGGCGTGCGGGCCAACCTCCTGACCCTCCAGCCGGCTCTCCGGACCCTCACCAACGACTACTACAGCCTGAAGCGGCAGGTCCGGGACTTTCCGGTTCTCCTCCAGGAAGCCCTGCAGGCTGCGAAGGCTGAGGTCAGCCGAACGGCGGCGCGTCTCCCCTGGGGTCCACACCCCACCATTTAAGCCACCAGGGCGTTCCTTTTTCTGTCGTGGGTTAGTGGGGGATCCAGCACCGTGAGGGTGTGCTTGTGCGTGTGTGAAAGATTCCTCGCTGCTCAGCTCCCCCCTCTTGGTTTTTTTTTCATTCCCTCTCGAAGATCGGACAAGCCATCGAGGAGGTGAACGGCACCAACCAGGAGCTCCTCCGGAAGTACCGCCGAGAACTGCAGCTGCGGAAGAAGTGTCACAATGAACTGGTGCGGTTGAAAGGTCGGTGTGTGTCTCTGGGGCGCCCCTTGGATGCGGCACCTGCTGGCCCCTCTTTGTTCCTGGCCCTCGAGCTGAACCCCAGGGGAGTCTCCACTGCCCCGAGGGAGCCAACAGGGAGGGGAGGCCTCGGGTCCGGAGCCTCTTTACGTCCCTCGCAGGCGGCGGCTGGCGTCCCATCACGAGGCTGGCAGGGGTCCGGCCCTCTGCCTCGCCTCCGAGGGGTCGGGACCGAAGGAACCGCCTGCTCCTTCTCAGCTTGATCAGCTCCGATCCCTTCTTGTCAAAGGAAACATACGCGTCTTTGGCCGCGTTCGGCCCATCTGTAAAGAGGACGGCGCAGGGCCGGAAGCGGCTAACGCCGTGAACTTTGACCCCGACGATGATGGCATCCTCCACCTGATGCACAAAGGCAAGCTGATCTCTTTTGAGCTGGACAAGGTCTTCCCTCCGGAAGCAACCCAGGAAGACGTGAGTTCGGCCACCGCAGCATCCGGTTGCTGGGTTTCAGCAGCAGAAAGGCCTCCCTGGGGGAGGGCGCGGGCGGGGGGGGGCGGGGGGGGCAGCTGGGAGACAAACAATCTCCCTTCCCACTGGAAACTCGTGTCCAGGGGTGGCCGTCTCGTCCGTCCGTCCGTCCGTCCGTCCATCCGGGAGGACAAGGTGGCCTCTCCCCTTTTCCTCTTCAATCTTTTTGCAAAATGCCTCTGATCTGTTCCGCTCAGAGGCTCAGACTCACCAGAACCTCCCGAGGAGCCTGTTTTGCGAACGTTGAAATTCCTCGGGTGACACCTTAAAGCGAACTCTTTTTTTGCCAAAGGTTTTCCAGGAAGTGCAAGCCTTGGTCACGTCCTGCATCGACGGCTACAACGTGTGCATTTTTGCCTACGGACAGACAGGCGCTGGGAAGACCTACACAATGGAGGTGAGCCTGGGATCTTTGGCTTGCTCCACTCAGGTCCCGGAGCCCAGATCCATTCCGGCCTGGAGGATTAGCTGGGTGGGTTTCCGCTGGTGCAAAACGCCAGGGCTGGCTAGCCAGTAGCGGGGAGGCCTCTTCCTTTAGCTCTGCTGGGTTGCCTGCCATCGGCCCCTCCCCTGAATGTTCTGTCCCAAGTTTTTCTGCAGATGTTTGTGCAGGAAAGAAACATTTCTGCCTTTCTCTCCTATTCTTCTTCTTCCTTCTCCCCCTCCTGCGCAGGGCACTCTTGAAAATCCAGGGATCAACCAGCGGGCTCTGCGGCTGCTCTTCTCGGAAGTGCAGGCAAAAGCCTCGGATTGGGATTATAAAATCACTGTCAGTGTGGCCGAGATCTACAACGAAGCTCTCAGGTAACAGCGAGAGAGGCCAGGTGCCCCTTAAGCGTGTAGTGCTCCGGACATCCCAGGAAGCAACTTCGGCAGTAGCAGCCACAGTTTCCAGCCACAGGAGCCGTCCTGGGCTACTTCTGTAATGTGGGACAGGAGGAGATCTGGATGAGCCTCCCAGGGGGTCCCGCCTCCTCCTGGCTCCCGCGGTCTGCGCAGGCTCGGGGGCACCCCTCTGAGCCACACAGTTGCCAGGCATTCCTCTGCTGAAATAGGCTGATGGCTTGCTTGGCGGTCTCTCTTCCAGAGACCTGCTTGGAAAGGGACCTCAAGAGAAGCTGGAGATTAAGCTGTGCCCGGATGGCAGCGGGCAGCTCTACGTGCCAGGCCTCACGGAGTTCCCCGTGCACTGCGTGGAGGACATCAACAAGGTGAGAAGGGAGAGGCGTTCACCCCGAGAGAAGACGAAAAACCCCGTCTGAGTTCTGCTGAGACTCGTTCCCACGAAGGAGCTTCCGAAGCCCCTTGCAGAAAGAATTACTCCACCAGTTTGAAATTTCACCAGAATCACCAGACGTTGCATCCGCGTGGGTGTGTGCTGACTGTCTGAAAAAGGTCACCAGATTTTACTGTAGTGGCTGCCGGTGTGTTTCCCCACTCCTTCCTCTTCTTCGGGTTTCAGCCATATTTTGGTCTTTCGCTTAATTTCAAGGAACCTTCACTGAGGAAACGTCGCCTCATCAGCCCCTCGTTTGTGCTGATGACCGATTGCCGGGCGTTTGGAGGAGTGCTGCTCAGACCTTTGCGAAAGAGCTGGCTGCTGAAAACAGGGGTGTGGGAATGAACCTGGTTTTCTGCCTTTCTTCCAGGTGTTTGAATTTGGTCACGTCAACCGAGCGACCGAATGCACCTACCTGAACGAGCACAGCTCCCGATCGCACGCCCTCCTGATCATTACCGTGAGGGGAGTTGATTACAGCACAGGGATCCGAACCACAGGTGGGGGTCTCCCAGGGGAGAGAAAAAGGGGGCGGCTGTCAACCGAAGGGAAACCCGGACTTCTAAACCGAGTCATTGCAATTATTTTTTAAGGTTTATTTCAAAAGATGAGATGGGGGGCAAGTGAATAACAAAGACGGATGCTAGAGTTAAGGGAAAAGAACCTCAACCTGTTTCCACCTATTTTCTAAATTTGCTAGATTCCCTGTATGCCACAAGGACACAAATCACACAGCCAACTCCAGGTTGATGGGATGTGGCAGTAACGCCGCCATTCTGGAGGTGCACCCGGGGAAGACAGGCCCCTTCCTGGGGGTGGGGGAGATCCTTCCATCCACATCCCTGTGATTGTGGGGGACACACCCTGGTTTGAGCGAGCAGCTGTCAGTGCAGGCAGTCCCGGGAACATCCCACTTCCTCTGGATCGGCTTCTTCCCGGCCCTTTCGTGACACTCTGGGGCGGGTGCTGGTTCTCTCATACAGCGCTGTCCCCTGCTCTGTTTGCAAGGGGATTCCTGGTCTTGTGGTCCAATCCCTGGTGGCCTCCGCTCCTGGTTTTCTCTCTGCGTTTGCTCCTTTACCCGGACAGCCCCAAGGGAGACAACACCCCCCCAGCTGTTCTTCCACCTTAAGAGCCGCTTGTCTTTGGGAGGGTGCCACAGAGGACTCTTTGGGAAGAGTCTGAGAAGCAGTTGTCCTTAACGATTCTAATGATGTGTCAAAATAGAACTTGTTCTTGAGTTTGTGAAGTGGTGTTTTGAGAAACAGGGGAAGTGATTAAGTAAAAATAAAAGGAGAAAATGGGGATGCTGTACAGCATAGCTTAGAATGGCTTGGCGAGGGATTGCACACGAGCGTGGCTAGCACCGTGGCGTGCAGACCTGGCCCTCGGGAACCCTGGCGGCCCACTCTTATAAAAGCTGGCCTCAGATGCGAGCGAGGGTGCCACGGACGTCTTGACAAGCCTGCCATCCTGGCCCCTGGGCCGGGGGGTGGGGGTGGGGGTCTTGATGGTTGCAAAAAGAGCCTCCTTGAGCTTTTGATGGGCTCCGGGAGGCGGGCGTGCAGAAGGGCTCCAGCTGCTGCTTGCCGGAGCCCAAGGGCTTTGTTGCTGGGGCTTGTCCTCCACAGGCTAAGTCCCTCTGGCCTTTTGCCCTCTAGGGAAGCTAAACCTGGTGGATCTGGCCGGATCTGAGCGCGTGGGGCGATCCGGCGCAGAGGGGAGCCGGCTGCGGGAGGCCCAGTACATCAACAGATCGCTCTCGGCTCTGGGGGACGTGATCTACGCCCTGCGTTCCCGCCAGGGCCACGTGCCTTTCCGTAACTCCAAGCTCACTTACCTCCTCCAAGACTCCCTCAGTGGGGACAGCAAGACCCTCATGATGGTCCAGGTGGGTGCTGCTTCGGGGACGATGGCGGAGTCAGGGCTGGTCCCGGTCACGACTCGGGATCGAAATGTGCTTGCCCAGAATTAGAAGAACCCTTCAATCTAAAGCAAAGAAGGGGGACGGTTTCTGGCGACCGAGCAGAGCCTCCCCCTGATCTTGGCCCCATCGTCGTGCCTGGAAAAGTGGGGGGCCCGACCTTTGTGCCCCATTCTGCCAGCCTCGGGTTCAAGGCCACCAACGCTGCCTCCCTCTGCTTTGTTCCCAGGTTTCTCCAGCCGAGAAGAATACCAGCGAGACCCTCTGCTCCCTCAAGTTCGCCGAGAGGGTTCGTTCCGTGGAGCTGGGCCCCGGCTCTCGGAGGGCCGAGCTCGGCTCGTGGGCCAGTCAGGAGCACTTAGAGGTCAGGGCACCCGGGAGGATTCGGGCCCGTGGTCTGGGGGTGGGGTCACAGGGGTGATTAAAGTGGTGCTTCGTAGCTTGTCTCAAGTCTGTAGCCGTTTTAACTGTAGTTACGATAATGTGGTTTGTGAGTCAAAAGAAGTAAAACAAAGCCCTGCCTTATGGATCTACGGTGGGATTTTAGTGACTTTTGGTGCCTGGATTGGAAGAAGAGGGCAAAAGTCTAAGAAGTACAAATAAAACAAGCGACCTTAAACCATGGCAAGAATGATAGACTTTCTAAGAAAACTTGGGAAGTAAAAGGACAGGAGCAACACACACAATAGGTGTGACCTAGCCAGAAGCAAAACCCTGCAAGTCTTTCCAGGTGTCCTCCTCTCCCTCTCTCTGCCTGTTTCAGCTTCTCCTTTCCTGCCTCCTAGTTCACAGATCTTTTAAGATCCCGGGGTATCTTCCCTGGAGCAGGGAGCTAAAATATCCACGGGCAATATCGTCCCTGCGGCCGCAGGGTGCATCTCTCCGGCATGCCCTCTGGCAGCCGGTGGGTCCGGTCCTCCTGGGGCAGCAGTTTGGTTTGGCCCTGACTTCACCCGGCTGTTCTTTCTGCAGGCCGAGCCCTCGGTGGCAGCGCAGCCCTGCATTCGGACGCAGTCTTCCCCTCGCACCGCAAGGTCCAACTCACTGCGGGCAAGGCTCCACACGTCAGGTAAATATCTGTGCGGAGGCCAGCTTCCTTTCCAGCTCCTCGGGGGGCCCTCTTGGCTCGGCGGACGACAGCCGTGCCCACCTCTGGGGCTTCAGGTAGAGTCGGGAGGAACTCTGCCACGGCTGGGTCTGTGGGCAGCCGGGGAGTGGGCATGGGGGGAGCCCAGGCCTGCCTGTGCAGGAAGAGCATTCAGACCTTGGTGAGGCGTGCTGTGGAGTCCCGAAGCCTTCAAGCCCCTTCGTTCTGCCCTTCAGCACTTGCTCCAAGTTGGGGGGAGGGAGAAGGAGAGGCCCATGCCCGGAAGGGCTCAGTAGATGAAGAAGCGCAGGCAAAGGGTTCGACTGGAGCCCCCCAACGTCCTGGAGGAGGCTGGGCTCGGTGGCTTAGCTCCACGCACTCTTACCCCCATCGCTGCCTTCTCAAAGTATCTCCAGAGTGCCTGATTGACATGCAGGCAGGGTGGCTCTGTTTGTGAGGGACGCCAAAAACGGGGATGATCCTCTGGGCTGCTCTGGGCCCTTGCTGAACACAAGCCAGGTTCTCTGCCCCTGGTAAATAAGGGAGCGCAGGAGGTGCATGGTGTGTGTATGTGTGTGTTAAATGTCACCCAGCACTCATTTCACCTCCGTTGCCTTAGAACCATTCGCATGATGGTTTGCGGTTCCTGCCGTTTTAGTACTAGAACGAAGAGCCCTGATTCTTCGGCCCTCTTTCTGTCATTCACTGCGAGACTCGGTAGGCTCCATATTCCTATGTCTGTCCCGAAGGCTTGGATGAGGAGGGGGCCTCCCTTTGGCCCCTGGTCGTCTTCAGCAGGGCCGGGTGGGGGCAGCAGCCGCCATCGGAGAGACTCCCCTTGCTTGCTTCGTTGCTTTGAAGGATGTCTGTTTTCTTTGGCCCGGTTGGAGGGGGGAATGTGAAACCTGTTGTTACGTTTGATTTCAGCCTCCAATTAAGAGACGCTCGGTCTGCCTCCAGGTGAGTGAGGGCCAGGGCAGAGCGCGCTGGAGGGCTGCTTTGCCCAGGAGGGTGAGGATGCAGATGGGAAGAGGGGCAGCTTCTTCGGGCACTAGTCTTTTACGGCACATCCATGTCGGCTGGCTTTGGCACCGAGCAGACTCTGGGAAATGGCTCCGCTTCTGGAGGACGCACTTCCTATTTTAGTTTTCCAAGCACGCTTCAGTGGTGATGGTTGCAGGAGCTTTGTGCCAGCTGTCTGGAGGTCTGGCGCCTTGGACCACTCTGACCTGAATGGACCTAATAGTGTGTTGAGTTGAAGCCCCACGACCCAAGATTTGACAAGGAATGCACTAAATGTGTAGCCTGTTGGTTTGGCCAGTTTTGTACACTCCATGAAATGAGCCAAACTGCAATGCAAAGTAAAATAATAGAAATGAAATCCAAAACATGAGGCTGAAAGCAAGATGTTCAGAAAGGAAATTCCTTTATAGGCAACGATTGGCATAATAGGAATAAAACACAAGAGCAGAACTGTGGCAGAAAGGAGGCTGTTTCCCTTGGTAGAAGAGGCTCAGAAGTGTTCCTGCGCGCAACAAGATTCTTGTAGGTTTATGGCTGTGGGTGTCTTTTCTGATTGCATTTCCCAGATACAGACATTGCTCCATATTGTGAAACTTTCTGTGCAGAAACGACTCATACTAGATTGCCAATTGTGGATTTTGCACATTTATTTTTGTTCCAGTGGATTATAAAGCACAATTGATACCTTCTTTTAATTTGGACTGCCTTGTAATTCTCTAAAGAACGTTCCAGGTGTGGATGTTTTGAAATGGCATGATGTTTATATTTTCATAGTTCAGATTTAATTTGCCTGGCAAGGCGTTCTGCACAGAGACCAGAGTCAAGGAGCGCATGCGAGGTGTGCTGGTTCTGCATGCAGCTGAATCATTTGCCGGGGGGGGCGGGGGGGAAGCACAGCTCCGCCTTGATCAACCCCTGGCAGTAACACCTCCTCCTTCTCCCTTTCTAGGAAAGCTGAGGCCGATCCCTGTGTGACAGAGTTACCTGTGGAACAGGTGCTTTTGAAATGTTTGAGAAACTGCATGTGCTTTTCAAGCGACCGCATCGTCTCTCCTCCACCCTGTGGACATTTTGGGGGGAGATCCCGAGGAGCCTCCAGGAGGTGCAGGAGGAGGAACGACCTTTTCTGTTGTCGAGTGGCAAAGGGGCCTCCAGTCAGGGCGCCCCCCTGGAAAGAGGAAACCGGGCCTATCCTTGTGGCCTCAAATGTTTGAGAAACTGCATGTGCTTTTCAAGCGACCGCATCGTCTCTCCTCCACCCTGTGGACATTTTGGGGGGAGATCCCGAGGAGCCTCCAGGAGGTGCAGGAGGAGGAACGACCTTTTCTGTTGTCGAGTGGCAAAGGGGCCTCCAGTCAGGGCGCCCCCCTGGAAAGAGGAAACCGGGCCTATCCTTGTGGCCTCGTCTGTTGTGTTGTCGAGTGGCAAAGGGGCCTCCAGTCAAGGCGCCCCTGAGGAAACCGGGCCTGTCCTCGTGGCCTTGTCTGTTGTGGGCAAGCGGGGGGTTGGGGGGGCGACAACTGGACCGCAGAAGGGTGTCCGCCTGCCTGTTCTCACACAGGGCAACTTTTAGTATATTTTTTAATGGGAGACTGTATTTTTTCCTGACACTCCGCCCATCTTTTGCACCTTTTCTTTTGATTTTAAAATGAATAAAACTTCTTTGCACCTCGACGGTGCCTCCCAACTACCAGCTGTCTGCTTCTTCCTGAACACAACAAACAAAGCCAATTCCAGACGGGCTTGTACAGTCCCACAGGCAGAGGCGCCCAGCCTGAACTCTGAAGGCAACGATCCCTTCCAGGCGCCAAGCCCTGTGCCCCAGCCTGGATGCAGTTCAGGTATATGTGCTTTTCTTTCTTTCCGAACAGGCATCGTGCCTCCCAACTACCAGCTGTCTGCTTCTTCCTGAACACAACAAACAAAGCCAATTCCAGACGGGCTTGTACAGTCCCACAGGCAGAGGCGCCCAGCCTGAACTCTGAAGGCAACGATCCCTTCCAGGCGCCAAGCCCTGTGCCCCAGCCTGGATGCAGTTCAGGTATATGTGCTTTTCTTTCTTTCCGAACAGGCATCTGAAAATGTGCCTGGATGCAGTTCAGGTATATGTGCTTTGCTTTTTTTTCTTTCCAAACAGGCATTTGAAAATGTTTTAGGTGGCTTAGAGGAGATGGCGTTGCAGTTTTGATAGTGTTGTCCAACACTTCCATTTTGGTCAACACACACGTCCCTCTTAAGCCTTGCCTCCTGGGGGGAGTCTGAAAATTCTGGACTGCGTAACGGGGAAAGACAAACTGCCACACGGCTTTCTAAAAATAAGTGTTACAAACATTTTAATAAAATTCATTATAAGTTACAGGTTTCTGAAAAGCAGGCTCCGGCACATGGACAAGAGATGCAGAGAAAAACACTGTGTCTCTCCCCCCCCAGCCCCCACCCAAGCAGTCTCTGCTTCCGCCTTGGGGAAAAAGAACCCAGAAGGGGCAGGGCTCTCCGATGCCAGGGGGGTAAAATAACCTCATCCAGCTGAAGCAGCAGGAGGCGTGCGCAAGAGAAATGCTGCGACATCGCCCATCAAGATCCAAGGGAGGCAGCCCCCCCTGCTCCTAGTTCCAGCCACCCAGCCGTGAGCTGAGAAGGAGGCCCCCAACCGCCGGCGGTCGCCAGGGAGGGGTTGAGACGCTGTCCGGACGATGGCTTCAGGGCCCAGTCGAATTCTGCTGCTGCATTTCGAGCACACCCACCCCACCCACCCCACCCACCCGCCCACCCAAGACAGGAGATGGCCTGGTCTTGAGCAGGACAGTCTGTGTCGCAACATCAACCTGTAAGGCACTGGAGTTGTTGCAGTCTGGCAGCCTGCGCCTTCCCGGAGGGTGTGTGTGTGTGTGTAGCGATGGACACCAAATGGGGAAAATAAAAGCACACACTCACGATTGGACTGGAGTGTGAGTCCGCAAAGGGAAGTACGAGCCCCTCGTGACGTGCACGCGCGTGGGGGGGGAGCCGCCACGCTCACTCCAGGACGGCCATCAGCAGGTGGAGTTCACGGAAGGCGCTTCCGTGGCGGCCGCTGAGCCCCGACTTGTTCTTGATGATGTTGCTGATGTGTTTCAGCTGCTTGTAGCAAAGACGGCACTTGTGAAGCCTGCAAAGGGGGGGGCGTGGGGAGAGGAGGAGAGAGAAAAACCCTGTCGGTAAAAGAGCTCCATCTTTCGGGTTTGCTCACAGCACCAGCCCTGGGGAGACATAACTCCTGCAGCCACTTGTGACATTTTTCTCGTTTTTAAAACAGTATCCTGCTTTTAAAAACAAACAAAAAAGCATTGTTGAAGCAGGAGCAGCTGACTGAAATGTGGAGCAGCAGGGTAGGTGAACAAAGTTTCTCTTGAGTCTCACAGAGTTGGTGTACAAAATAGCCTTGCTGGCCACCCCCACCCCGAAAGGGACTTGACTTGTACTGCAAGGAAGGAAGCCCTGAGGTGAGGTGTGTGTCCTGGCCCCTCTGCCCAGAAAGCCCCACCTCTCTTCTCGGCTGATGTCGACCCCCACGGATGGCGGGGCAGCGAGGATGTCTGTGATCAGGGGCAGAAACCTCTGCAGGATCAGCTTCAGTGAAGTACAGCCGGTCTGGACATAACTGGCAGAAGAAGAAGGAGAATCAGAGAGATCAGACTCTGCAGGAACAGATGACACCACGTGTTCCCATAACTGGCAGAAAACAGAGATGGAGGAGAAAACCAGACCATTATTATAACACCAGGTATCCTTTCAGGCTGAAATCTTGTTGCTTTGTGGAGCAAGTCGTACTAGAGGAGGCCTTCTGAATCCATGGCACTGACCCCGGAGTCGATGCACGAGGGCCCCACTCATACCAAAGGCTTCCTCAAGTGAGCAACCTGGTTCCAGCCCATGGGAGCTGAATTTAAATAGGCTGACCTAGTGGGTGAAGGGTTAAAGTGGGGCCGATCCTGGAGTGCGGACGAACCCGTTGCTTCAGCAGCACAATGGGGAAGACTGGTTCCCCCCCTCCAGTGCTGGAGCCCATGGAGAGAGCTAAAATCCATGTTGGGGGCCTTGCCTCGCACGACACCAGCTCGGCAAATACTGCACAGACTCAGAAGGCTGTATCCTACGGGCATGAGGGTCTCTGAAGGTGCCCATTCCATGCTGTAGGCAACGCGGGATGCTCAGTCCTTCAGAGCCCGTCCTTTCCGGGACACCCACCTTTCGTACTTGCTTTGGAGAAGCTTCTCTATCTGAGGCAAGACCACCGTGCACAGATCCAGCTTCCAGAGAGACCTGGGAAAAGAACAAGGACTCCAGTAAGCAGCCCGGCTGAAGCAACACCTAGGGCAGGCAGTGGGAAGCAACTGGATCGTGACCCTTGTGGTGTCAAAGGCACCAGATCCGCTTGGCAAGCTGAACCCCCTTCCCTTGCCGCACAACAACAGACTGGAACTCACGCCTTCTGGTTGACAATGTTCAGGAGGTCCACCACCACAGAGAGGTCATTGATGGCCACAGCAGAGTCCACGGATGTCTGAGGAAAGGGAACCGAGCAGAGCGGGATAGGAATGAGGGACGCCTCCCAGGAAGCTAACAAGGCCCATGGGGAGCACAAGGCCCCAGGCCTTGGTCTACCTCTTAAGGCTTTGGGTGGAGGAGACGGACCCTCTGCAGACTTCAGCTGGGCTCCTGGATAAATACCGAACAGCCGGCATTTCACAAGGAGCAAATGAAACACTAGCTGTTCCCAGGAGAGCGCTGGCCGAAACCACGTAGCTCTGACCACTGCAGAGCCATAAAACAGGCAAGAGAAAAACAGGCAAATGTGACTTTTGCCCTACGTCACAGGGATCCGTAAGGCCACAGAAACCTACATGAGGAATAAAAAGACTGAAGCATGGTTTCAAGTGTAGATCTTGGGCTCTATCACCCATTCAGGAGTTTTAGGTTAGGAAAATCATGGTCACCGTCTTGCCCGGGGGGGGGGGGGGGGGGGGGGCTACTCATTAGGCGCCCAAAGTCTGCACAGGGAGGGGGGGGAATAACCTCTGAGAGCCACTTAGGACACACACACACCCCAAGTCTGTTTTGGCCACCCAAGCACTCCCCTCTCTACCACACCTCCTAGGTTTGGAGGCAGATCGTGCCCTGCTAAGACATTTGTAAGCACACAGAGGAAGAAACCGATTGTGGGGTTTCAGCTGGGCACTGGGAAAAACCTCTTTAAAACAGAGCATTTTGAGCCCTTTGAAATAAGCATTAAAACCAATGCTTGGTTTAAAGGCCTTTTCCCAACTTGTTGACCCCAAACCTGGGGCACAATTTACACAACATTAAAACGAATGGATAGGGCAGTCCTCGTTTGCAGAACCGGCCATGTTTCAAAAATCCAAGTACACACTGATTATAAGGAAGGCCACAGATGCTGGAGGAGAACCGAGGCCTCCCTTAAAGGCAGAACCCCCGGCTTCTGAACCCCTGTCCCCCAAAACTCCATCCTCCTGGTTCCAGAAAGGGTCACGCCGGCGCTTTTGCTGCTCCTCCTCTTAAGACAGAGGGGCAGGCTGGGGAGCAAGGCACTAATCCATCCCCTCTGCCCGGGGCCGACGGCTATGAACGGAGGATGCCTCCTTCCCTCTGGGATTCCTGCTCCTCCTCTTAAGACAGAGGGGCAGGTCGGAGAGCAAGGCACTAATCTGTCCCCTCCGCCCGGGGCGACGGCCATGAACGGAGGATGCCTCGTTCCCTCTGGGATTCCTATCCCACCCCATCCATCCATCCATCCATCCCTCTCTCTCTCTAAAGACCACGTGGTTTTATTTTGATGGAGGCAACCAGGCTGGGAGAAAGAGCTTGCCAAGGGTGTCCTACAGAGGGAACGCAGAAGCCCTACAGAGACAGGAGGCGACCTGGTCCGAGAGGTCGGGTAGTGCCGTGGCTGGATGCTCGGAGGAAGGTGGCCCGCCCGAGCGAGCGCCTGCGCGGCCCTGCTCAGCAAAGCGCGTTACCTTGATGTCTCCGGTACTCCAGACGGCTCTCACCGTGTCCAGGTTCTTGTGGCGGCTGGTCAACACCACGCACATGGTCTCGTGACCCTTCCGGATCTGGGACATGGCCTCCTCATCGACAATTTCCACCAGACTTTGGTTCTTCACAGCCTGCAAGAAAGCAGCAGCAGCAAAGGGGCCAATGACTGTGAGGCTTGAGGCTTTCCATTTCGCCTTGGAAGCTCATTCCAGCTGCTCAGCAGGCCGGACAGGTGTTCCCACGGACTGTTCAGCGGACCGTCCCCAACGAACCTTCTTCCCCGGTGGCCGGGCAGGGTGGGAGGAGGGGAGGGGGAGCTTACCGGCAAGAAGTCAGAGGCCTTTAGCCCAATGGGCTCATTCCTGGCAGCAGGGATCACCGAGGGCTCCGTCCTGGGCATGGGGGTAGAGGCGGCCAGGGGAGGCCTCTGGAGGGGGTCGGGCTGCAAGAGGGAGGAGAAACTGAGTCAGGAGAGACACACTTGGGCTTTTCCCAGTGCCGCGGGCCTATAGGCATGCTCACTCACCCAGATTATCTGTACACAGCCATGGGGCAGCTTCCCCTCTCCCGCTCTACTCTAAAACACAGGGGTCACGGCGGGGTGGGGCACTGGTAAGAGGTCAACACCTTCCAACCCTCCCACCACAGAGGTCCCGGTTTCTGCACTGCTGAAACAGCGATCTCCAAAGCAGATGACTTGGGGGACTCGAGGAAGCCTTCATCCTTGCCCAGTGATCTGAGCTCAGTGCTGCTGGAACAGCTGAGTCCCCCCTCCCGCCCCCCAGTGCTCTCGGCGGAAAAAGCAGCAGGAGACTTAAAGACACAGCCTGACACAGCCCAGGAGGTCACTCTGCACCACGAGAGGCGCCACAATAAATCAGCCACTTTTGGAGGGCGAAGGAGGCAGGAGAGGCAGCGGGACTGGAAGGGAAACACCTACGACGCTCGATTGACTTGGCAAAGGGATCTGAGTCTCCGACGCCTGGCTGGGCTTTGAGGCCTCCTTGGCGAGGATGGGCTCTGAAAGGGAGGAAGGGAGACGGTCATCCTCTGCCTCTGAAGGGCTCAGCTCCTCCCTGAACAGGCACAGCAACCTCCAAGAAAGTCACAGAAGGCTGCTCTGGATGCCAGGCAGGCCAGGCGGGGATGGCAGTCTCCTGCCATTTTCCGCCAGCGTGAGTCAGGCCAGGCGAATGCCACCTGCCTCCACCCGGAAGCGAACCCCCAAAGGCCGCCTTCTAACATCTTCCGGGCTTACTGGGGCATCACAGGCCTGTGCAAGAAGTCAGGCACCCAGGAACTACTGCACACAGACCTCTCTTCCCTCGTCCCTGCCCCTAAATCCTAAAAGGTAAAGCTCACCATCTTCCGGAGGGGCAGGAAACGGCTCGCTCTTGTGTGGCGGAGTCCGAGCTACAAAAGGCAAAAGCACAGCCTTGGACGATGCCAGCGTTCCAAAGAGTGGCGCACCGAAAGGGCCAGCCGCCTGACGGGGCAGCGAGAAACCCCCCGGGGACACTCACTGATGGAATTCTTTGGCAGGAAGATCTCTTTGTAATCCTCCGGGTTCTGGATCTCGGCCGTGGACTCTTTGTCTTCCTTGTCGTCCTCGCTGCTGGGGCTGCGCCTCTCGCTTTCTGAGTTGTGTTTCATTCTGCCAGAGGGAGCCACAAAGGTGAGGCCCACCCAGCCTGGGGTTTCCCCTTCGGCCTCTCAATCCGCCTCCCACGACCTGAGGTGACATCGCCTCAAAGGAGGGGAGACCACCCCCCACCCACCCACAGGCATGACCGTTTTATATATCTAGTTAATTAATTCAAAACATTCTGAACTCCACCTTTCTTCTTAAAAAGGAGCCAAGGTGGCTTGCATCCTTGAAAGACAATATTTGAAGCAAAAAACAATATACAAATATTTTAAAAGATCAAACAGAGACCACTCTAAGAAATGGGAAGCAAAAGCAACGCCAAAGCCACGTTCAGAGCAACAAGGCGCAAGCTGCCATTTAAAAAAAAACCCCACTCAGGCCGTCGGCCGCTGAGCCCACTCTAAGAAATGGGAAGCAAAAGCAACACCAAAGCCACATTCAGAGCAACAAGGCGCAAGCTGCCATTAAAAAAAAAACCCACTCAGGCCGTCGGCCGCTGAGGGAAAGCTTGCCTGGAGAGAAAGGTCTTTGCCGGAGGCGAGGAGGAAGATGACCTTGGCCCCGAGGGAGTCCCCTAAGAGCTGGTTCCCCCTCCCCATAGTAGGGTCTGGCTTCCAAGGCATCAGCAGCCAGGCTTTGGGGCAGCCCCCAACATCGCCTTCGACAATGGGAGGGCCTCTGTTGTGGGCTCCTGACCAAGCCACCTGCTCCTGCACCGCTTGCTTCTTGCTGTGATGGGTCTCTGAGGGTATCTGACCCACCCCTAGCCACTTCCCTTGCAATGCTCTTGCCTGCCTGCTGCTCCGAACTGAATGGGCGAGACCCGGGCTGCTCCTTGACTTGGGCTTCAGGTCTCCGTCTGGTTGACGGGAGAGGCTGCTACCCCTCAGGCCTTTCTGATCTCTCTGTTGCCTTCTGCCTCTTCTTCTGGGTCTCTCTCCGTTGTGCATGCCGTTGCCGGCGTTAAGGTTGAACGCCAAAGGCCCTGTCACTGCAGATGAGATGTTGAGCCGTCCTTACCTTTGGGGCTTGCTACACGTCGTTGACGGCCTCTCGTAGATTCGTCGAAGGGAAGAGCCCACAGGCAAGGGCTGGGGGAGAGGCTTGTCGTCCTTCAAGAGTCCCTGCAGGCCAGACCCACTTTTTGTGACTCTGTTGAGGTCCACAACAAACGAAGAGACCGTGCTTTGTGTGAATGAAACGCCAATCTATGAAGAACAGAAACGGCAGCTGCGTTCACAGAATGGTAAGGCATGTTTATGGATCCACTCCATTAAAAAAAAAGCTCGGCTTCTTTGCAAGTCCGTTTTGCATCAGGTCTTCCTCCAAGAGCCACGATCTGCTTGGATCCCACCTGAAGCTGACCCACAGACCCACTGACCCTTGAAAGAAACTAGGGGGAACAGCAAGCAAACTCTCTTTTCACAGAGTTTGGAAAACAGAAAGGACTCGGGAGACACCCGCAGGCCAACAAGGCTCAGGTCCACCGAAGCAGTGGTCAGCTCGCAGAAGGCGCTGCCACGGCTGAAGGAGAGAGCTGCTGGCTCAGAAACGGGACCCGTGAACGTGGAAAGCCTTTCTGCATTTCAGATACTCACCAGCTGGTTGTTACAGATCGACAAATCCGCCACCTTGCCCCAGTTCACGGAGACCACGTCAAAACAGCGCTCAGGCTCCCAGCCATACACCCTCAAGGAATCGTGGCAGCCAGCGTACAAACAGCAGCCGTCTGGATTAAACAGCACGCACCTGAGAGAGGGAGAGGAGGCAAACAGGAGCAGGGCTTTTGAGAAAGGGAATCCTGCTACTTGGGCACTTTACAGGACCACAGCTCTAACTGCAGCCGCGGCAAGAGCATTTCACCTTGAAGAGCCAGGTTCTCACTATGATGCAGGACACAAGACTTGCTCTGAAAAGAGACCGGGAAGGTGCCATGACCGCGATCTGCAGAGAGCTGAAAAACGGTTGCGAGTCTAGAAAATGAGGGCTTCTCTAACATTCTGTGGTTCTGTGAATCCCGCAGGGCCCCCGGGAAGAGCACACCTTGTCACCGCCCTGCCCCCATGCACGGCTCGGCCGCCCACGCAACACCCACCTGACTGGAGTGGCCTCTTCCTCAATGGAGCTCACAACCTGGAACTTCTCCAAGTCCCAAAACCGGACTGTTCTGCAAAACGAAGAGAAAGTGGTAAAATACATTGAAGCAGATGTTCTGAAAATACAGGGTGGGGCCGAAAAGCAAAGCTCCTCAAAGGCTGAGAGCTTTGTTTGTATGATTTAGCAAGCAGAAAAACAGCACCTTAAAGGGCCTAGAAAGGACCCACTTGCAACCAGGGAAGCTCTTTGAAGAACACGTCAGGGCAGCCTTGGCCACCAAGTCCTGCACTGTCTGCAATCATCTGAGCAACCTCTGGGGGGAGGCCAGAGGAATGCACTAAAGGGGAACAAGGACAGGCAGCTTCTCATAGGCACCCACCGGTTGGAGAAAGGGGAGAGAGGGCGGGAGAGAACTGACTTCAAAAACCTGGCCGGCCATCTCCCAGTGGCTTTGTAGCTGCTTCAGCTATGGGGACAACCTCTCAGATCCTTGGGCCACCCACAGGAGAGCTAACTCCCGTGGGGTGCCTCATCCCTTCCTTCTACCAACTGGGTTCCCGAAGAGGGCCAGGGGCTGACCAGAACGACCTCCTTAATCGGGGAGGACGGAGGGTTATCTGCTGGACGCTCAAAGCTCTGTTCCTCAGATCACAGCCGCCGGTCAACCCAGCTCTGTCAACGGATACGGCCACCCTGCCACAACCGGCCACGAGGCTTCTCTAGTCCCACTTCAGCCACTGTTCTCCATCTCCCAGCAAGAATTTACCTGTCTGAGCTCCCGGAGGCCAACAGGTATTCGTTGGGATGAAATTCGACCACGTTGACTGGCCCCGTGTGCCCGGTGAACTCAAACATGATCTTCCCAGCAGCCAGGTCCCAAAGCTAGGCAAAGAAAGAACCCCACAACGTCTAGGAGCCTGGCTCTCCTCGACTGAGCAAAAGAACACACACACACAGGGGAGGGCAGCTGGCGAGAGCAGTCACAAGGGCCGGGAAAAGAGCGGATGCCGGGAAGAACAACACCTGTACCTTCACGGTGTGGTCGTCGGAGGATGAGGCCAGCCATTTCCCATCCGGACTGAATCGGAGACATCGGACGGCTTGCGTGTGACCCTGTCGAGCCAAATCAGACATTCGTGCCAGAGTTACAACCACACCTTCTAAAGGAACAGACCAGCATTTTCCAGGAAGAGGCAAGGCAAAGGAAGCCCACTGGGAGCAAACCAAGGGGTTTCCCCTGTAGCAAATGCCAGAGTGGCCCCATATTTCTCATCTCTAAGCACCGTGAAATTTAAGTGACTTGCTATAAAGCAAGAGGGAAAAGGAACCATCATCTGAGTTGCAGTCAATTAATCTAAGATGCGCCTTCATAAACTGGAATATATTCCTTTCCTAAATGTGAAATGGAGACAAGGAGCAGCCGGACGACCTGCCAGATGAGAGGCAGGGGGGAAGGAAGGTCAAGTTGCTCCCTCACAAGCAGAGGAATCCCCTAGTAACCATGGCATACTGTGAACAGTGGAGGACAGGCACCGAGCAGAAAAGATAAAAGCAAAGGCTCCCTTGGGCAACGGCGGCAGCGGAAGGCATCGGACAACGACTGCAGAGAGCCTGCCCAGCCCGGGGGCCCAGAAAAGCTGGCCCAAAAAAGCCTCCACCCCACCTGGCCTCTCTGGCTATAAAGAGAGGGAGAAAAGGAGGGTGGAAGCCTGCCGGGGTGGGTGCGGAAGGCTGGCAGGGAAGACCTCGCTTAGGGAACACAGGCTGGGGCGTGCCATTTTTAGCTTGGCTGGCAAGACTGAACAGTGGTCGGTCTCTGGATGTGCACAAGAGTCAATGCAAAATTGTACAGAGCCTTCAGAACAGGCAGCCATCCTCAATAAATGAATAAAACTAAAGTGAATAAATAAACAAAACTAAAATGAATAAATACAACTAAAATGAACATGTCACCCTCTGACCTTTTGCCAAACACTCCAGAACAACGCAGCTGTGAACTTCAGGGGCTACATCCAAGCACTCTTAAAGAGAACCTCTTTGTGCTAATTCCATACAGAAAAACTGCCTGGCGTAAAGCAGAACCCAAACGGGGGGCCCCCCTGTTGAGAGAGACCGCCTGCCTGCTTTCCTACCTTGTACCTGAAGACACAGCCTTTTCTTCTTACATCCCAAAGCTGTGTGAAAGGAAAAGAAAAAATGGAAGAGCTGTAAAAGGAGATTCCAAAGTGTTCTGAAGAGCCCCAAAGCACCTGTTTTACACCTAGAAGTTTTGGTATCTGATTTCAGCTTGAATGACATTTTCTAAGAACTTGACACCATTTCAATCTCAAAGAGAAGCTGATGTACAGAACAGGTGCTTTGCAAAAATGAAGCCGCACCAGTTAGAAGAGCTTGGATAAAAGTGTTGGAGCAGAACTCCCCATCACCCACCCCCCCCCAGCCTTTGGAAAGAGGCTTCGACTCATCAGAAGAGCACTGGGTTTGGAGGACCTGTTATTCTGGCTCTGTACAGAGCCGTTCCTTATCCCCATCAGTATCTAGCCCTCTTGTGAACTCCACTCGGCTTTCACCCATCGCTCACGCTGGTGCAGAGAACAACGCAGTCAATCTCTGTTCCTCTTAGACAGATCTCTGCCAAATATCTCCACCCCTTTCCCCTCCTCTAACAAAATTTAAATTGCAGTTCCGAAGTCTGTTTGAATTTGCTGAAGACCCATCTTTCTAAGACACGCTGCTGCTCATGTTCAGAGATCTCTTACATGCAGGTGTGCTCAAAGAGGAACTAGCCCCATTAAGATCACCCCTTGTATTTCTCTACGTAACCCTAAGCTACTGAGACAGTCAAAGTTATTTTATCCAGATTTCTGTGGAATAGCGCAGCCACCACCTGCCCACTTCTGAAGACCTAAAGGAATATCGGTTGCAGGGACAGGCAAGAGTCAAAGTTGTCAATCGCAATACCCGCCCAGATCACTAGGAGGCAAAAAAGTGGCCGTAAATGTATTTGTCAAAAGTTGCTGAAGAAGCTGCATTTGACAATGAGAACTTCGACAGAGTCAGGCATAAAGGTGGAAACCCCCACCAAAAACACCATTCTGGCCCCGTCACTCAGGGAATGCCTGTTGCTCTTCGTACCGGATGAGTGCAGAGGGAGGGCGGTCTCACCTTAATATTGGTGTCCATGGATCCTGAAGCCACAAAGCCTCCAAATGGATGGAAGTCGAGGCTGCAAATATTTGCTTTGTGGCCCATTAGCGTGCGGAGAACTAGATAGGAAAACAAGAGGGAGAGCAATTGAAGAGCAAGGATGGTTTCGAAAGAGTTCGCCAATGACAGATGCCAACCACATGAAAGAGTAGATGTAGCATCATCTTGCATCAGGTATTTTACAGTTTGGTTCAGTGAATCTCTTAAAAAAACTGTTTTCAAATGAAATCAGAACTTAATTCAAATATGTTAATGTTTATACTTAAACCAAAGATTGAGTTTACACACGTCACATTTACATTTGTTTTTTATGCAGGAGAAGAAATCACAGGGGAGAGATTGCTGAATGCTAAGGTTAAGCAATAAATATTGGAAGGAGCTCTGCTGGAAGCTGAAGCCACACCCTTGTGATCGAGATCAGTGCTTGCCCATCTTGGGTCACCCAGATGTGTTCTTTGACGGGCAGCTCCCAGAAATCCTGGCTGGCCCAGCTGGTGGTGAAGGCTTCTGGGAGTCATAGTCTAAACACATCTGGGCTAGCTGGGGCTTGGAACTACTGACCTAGATGAAGCAACGTCCTATGTGCACATCTCCTGAAATGCTAGTTTTAAAATATTCCCTGCCAACAATTCACCTTAACGTTTATGAATTTCTTTCTGGCTGAAAAATCTTACCAGCATCAAACCACCCCCTTAATTCATAATTTGAATGAAGCTGCCTTTTGTTCTCTGCTCTTTGCAAAACAAGGCCACCGCCATGTAAACTAGAAAACAGGAGTCACAAGAGCGGATTCCGAACCTACTTTTGGCTGCTTCCAGATCCCAGATCCGAATGGAGCCCGACTGGGACCCCGCAACGATCAGCTCTTCGTTCGTATTGATCTTCACGCTCTCCACTGGCGTTGTGTGACCAGTCAGACTCTGAATGAAATAAAAAAGCAGCTATGAACCCAATGACAAACCCTAGCCATCCAGCTGAAATGAGAGCCTACCAGGAGCAAGATGCCGTGGACCCGGGGGGGGGGGGGAGCTGGATGTTGGTCCAGGGGTTGGGGAATCAACCTGTCCTGCATGGCGTTGTCGTCCCGCACCCGGCTCCCACCCTGGGATTCATTTCTGGCCCAAGGAACCTTGCTGGCAAAGAGGGCCCATCTACTCTCAGCTCTGGCTGCTATAGTGACGACGGCTGTTCCTGCACAGCAGGGCCCACACGGTCGTGAATCTCTCTACACAGAGATTCGAGAATTACAGAGACCAGAATTTCAGTTTGCCTTTGAAGTACTGGAAGAATGTTATGTACAAGAGGAAAGGGGAAAAAAATCTACCACATTTTAAATCTCTCTAATGCAGGACTCACCACATCACCAGCTCTGGAGAGCTATGCTCTGTACTTGTCTAAACCAGAGGCCAGTCTCTGGCCTGCTTCATTAAGACAGGCATTAAGTGTCCAGGAGAGAGAGAGAGAGAGATTCCACAGGAGACTTAATTTCTGAGCTTTCAGAGTAAGCTTCTGGCTTTTTAGGAACAGCCTGTGGTAGCAGTTTGATTAGGAGGGAGAAGAAGGGATACATATTGATGCCTACAGATCTCTCAGCCCACTTTAGGTGCCTCTTGCTTCCTATTTCAGAACCAGCATCACCTCTGTCCTCCCCAGGTTAGGAGAGGTGTGAAGATAGCAATTGCTTTGTCTGAGCGAGGGAGCACATTAGCCCACCAACCGCAGAACTATGAGAGCTGAGGAAAACAGAAGCTCCCTTCCCCATTTTCACTTCTGTGTACAGAAAAGAGGGTTAGCTGTCTTCCAGGTCCATCATGCCCAAAAGCAAGGAAAAATTCGCCAGTTCTTACCATGATGCAGTTGGGCTTGTTAACCGACCAGATATTAACCCGACAATCATCTCCACCGGTTGCGAGAAGCCGGCCAGAGCTTTTGCCCAGCACCAGGGAAGCCACATTGCTGCTGTGAGCTGTGATTTCCTCTGCATGAGAAAGCAAACACAGGCATGAGTGCCTTTGATTCTAACAAGTTGTCCATTAAATCACAACAGCAACAGGCTTGTCTCTGGACTAGTCCTCCCTGGCTCCTGTCCATGGGGGCTGGAGGAGATGGAAGCTGTAGTTCTGAACATCTGGCGGAGGCTGTCTTACAGAGACACTAGCCCACCCTACAGGGTACAGGAGGGAGAGGCAGAGCCACATGGGCGCTCAAGCTCAGCAGAAAAGTCCTTGCTTCCCCTCCTCTCACAGCCAAGGGCCACAACCTCTTTATTTGTGAGATGAGCCCAGCTGGCCACGGATGAAGGAACCCCGCACCACTCAGCAAGTCATGGTACATCCCGGGAACATCCCAGGCTTGCTTTGGGCTTTTACCTCTGCTAGTCCTGTGCCAATCCAAGGGAATGAGAGGGAGAGGAATCCAGGCATCAGCAGTAAGTGGTGATGCCTGACCCATGAGCACTCCCAGAAAGGCAACCCTGGATGGAAGAGGGAAGGAAGACGTGGGCTGTCCAAGGGAGGGCAAGCAGGAGAATTTGGGAGGCTGGTGGTGGTGGTGGAGACGCCTGAGAAGGAGGAGGTTTGTTTTGGACGCTTAGGAGGAAACGAAGATTGCATCAACAAAAACAGGGGCCTGAAGATACAACCGTTGCCGCTAATAAAGGCAGGAAGGAGAGAGATTACTCACGCAGCTTCCAAGCTGTCTTGGTGGCCACTGCAGCTGCCATCACAGAGTCTCCAGTGCAGCTACAGAGAAGAGGCCGCTTTCTCCCTGCAGTGCAATATTTTCATCAGCCTGTATGGGGCTCAAACCTTCCAGACACCAAGTTCCAACATCCAACCTGTCCTGCCAAGCTGACAAAACTCTTATTTCAACCTATATACCATCCAGAGGTAGAGCGCTTTCTCCAGTAGCTCGTTTCTCCCCGGAAATGGGCTAGAGCCCAGGAAGGAAGTCGGAAAGTAATCTGAAAGAAGAAGAGGGGAGATTGCTTCAGCGTGTTCAGCTTACATGAAGCAGCAGCATCAATTAAAAATAAAACACAGCTTGACAGGGTTACTCTCACAATATATTCGCTAAGTACAGCAACAATTTGCTCACACTGTTTGCAGACTGAGGAGATACACTTTCAAGTACAGTATTCTGTCTTATACATTTTAACTCTCTACGATAACAAAGAGGCTAGTCTTCTTAAACTTTTTGAAATGAACAAATTTCCATCATTTGGGCTGTCATTTGGGGTGTGTGTGGCTTTTTAGGAAGAGGGAGGAGGACAGCTGATTATATTCAAATGTCCTAGGAGTTTTACTGCAGCTACATTTTTGTTCCCCAACCTGAGCAGCTCCTTGTGAGTAAAGAAGGAGAGCAAGGGCATGATGAGGGCCGGAAAGCAGGCAGGCGCCGAGGCACACAACTGGGCCTGGAAGATCGAAAGATGCCCTGTTTTGCCGAGCGAATCACGGCCTGGCCCTGAAAAGCTGGGAAATCTACCTGGGTCCCACGGGGGGCCAAGGGTGGCCGGCCAGGCGAACGCAGCCCACAGCCCAGGCTGTGGCCCTTCAGAAATGCCCTGTAAGTCGCCAGATCTGATGGCTTGCCTGGCCCAGGAGGGACCACCGCCATCACTGCTGGAGGGGCTGGCCTGCCACTGGCGGGGAAGGCCTTGCCCGAAATCTCAGTTTCGAGTGGCAGGGAGTTCCGCAGTCCCCCACCCCGAGCAGCCCTTCAAGAAGGAACCCTCCCTTGGCAGCTGCTGTGGGGTGGGGTGGGGCGGGGTGGGGATGATGGAAGTGGGGATGATGGGGGGAGGGGCGCGCCGTGGCGGCTGGCATCCTTCCAATTCCAAGCTGCGCTGGACTACGACTCCCAGCCGCCCACGGAGGG